GATCTAGCCACGATTCAGCCACATCGGAGTGGCGGATAGATTTCTTCTTACAAGTCTTACCCACAGTAATTAACTCCCAGGTAATTTCTCAACCACCCACCACTCCATCAAGCTCATTAATTATTGTCAAATTAAATCAATGATACAAATCATCGATTGATTAATTATGATTTATCGAGGAGTAGAATACCTATGTAATTCTGTAGTGTATCCAGTAGTAATTGTCTTGCATAATAAAAAACAATAAAAATTATCGAAACGGATCATTTCTCACGGTTAATTTGTCCGGGGAAAATAATGGGTTTTAACCTATCAATTATTTAATAATAAATGTTATAAAATACTAATAAAATTCCATGTCTTTGATTAGGAAGAACAATGATGAAGTTATGATGGATAAGAACAAATATAAATTATCTAATCGACGATAAAATTGATAAACAACCTATTCCCGGTGTTAAAAGTATTATTTATGGTCGATTGAAACGCCATTAGCATTAATGACGTTATATCACCGTTCAATTTTCACTAATAAAATCCACATCATCACTGGGAATACAATGATTATGTTCTCATAGTTTCACCGGTTTTCATTTCTGAATTTCATTATTACGGATTAAAGTCGAAGAGCTGTCGATCACTGAGACATTACACGTGCGAAAAAATTCCCGCAATTCTTCCCCTTATCTATCACATGCGTGAGGCCAACTCAATTTATTTATTTATTGCGTGTCAACAGCCTCTGGAGTTCAATGTTTTAACTCCAATTTTTATTTATTTTTTTTTTTATTTTTACGTTTGAATATTATTGAGATAATATTGAGAAGTGCAGACAAGTATTTTTTCGAGGAGATTTGGAATTGAATAAAAATTGATGAAATATTTGCAATTTTTTTTTATCTTGCCCTTCGGTTTTTCTATTTCGGAAGATTGATGGGTCATTTAAATTTGTTATTTGAGTTTTGTTGGATGCAAGTCTCGAATGCCAAGACTCCCCGGGAATTTCTGGTAAATGCGCCTAGGTGAGACCCCGATAGCGAATCCCTCGGGGATTTTTGCAAATTGCATGGCCTTGGGGCCTTGAATTTACCCGAATATTCCCCGCGGGGTCTTTGACTCGAAACTGGTTAAAATTTTGCAGATTGAATGGCCGAGGGGCAAGAGGTCATCCTCCTAAAAATGGCGGACCCCCGGGTCTATTCTTCATTTCTAGTTTCAATCCAGTGATTAATTGACGAGAAGAAGAGGTTCAAAAATCTCCAGGAGTCCCCTGAACTCCTGGGGACACTCACCGAAGTAAAAGACATTCCTCAAATTGTTTCTTCTTCCCTGCAA